ATTCACATAATTCACGGCTTACATTTATGGGTTTCCATCGCTTGCTGAGAGCTTTCTTTTTGGCCTTTGGCAAAAATGGCTCCCAGGAGACATCTTTTTTGGTCGGATCACTTGCTAGTTTTTGCATAACAATAAGCCGCTTGATGGTATATGCAGGATGAATATTGTCATGGATGCACTCGTCTACAATTTTTCGAACCTGATAGTATAGGCAATAGTAAAAAATAGATACATAGGTTATGGTCAAAGGTGTTAATTTATTTAGGAAAGGAACATATAGTTGAAAGTTTAAGGAAATGAATGGTGGTTAGAAATATGCCTAGGAAAATTTGACAATCATGACTTTATTTGATTTGGTGCTTACTCAGACACCTTGCTGACATTGTCATGAGAGGTGCAATACTCTTGACAAATTTCCTATTCAACAATTGTGGCATCTTGCCTTACCCCATGCCCAAGATACGAATGCCTTATCTCCTCTCCAGCCCACTTCAAATAACTAATTTCCCTGCGTGCGCATGTGTTTTCATTTGCTCCAATATATCCCAAATATGTCTTTTCAAGTGGGTTCAGCGAGACCCTCCCGCCTGAGAGACTTCCTGATACACAGGTACATGCATCCAGCAATACATTTCATCCAATTTCCATTAGTCGTCTCCTCGCGTCCTTAGCAAATCATGTTTTATCTGACTAGCCACTAGCCCCCGTTCCCAACTAGCTATATTTGGGGATTTATTTTTATGACTTACCCAGATAATATTATAGAACGTGTAAGATGGCCTTATTGGGAGGACTCTAAATTTATGATTACGACTGTTGCCATTTTAATTCCCTTTGGTTTAGCCATCCTGATTTCTCAATTATCGATTTAAATCTACATTTCATTTATTAAAATGATCTGGTAAAGAAGTGTACTTAAATACGAGAGCAACATGCGTGTTGTTTGAATAAAAAAATAGATAAGTGGTAGATCTCTACAGTAGCGCTTCCAAAGGAGGGGGCAAGAAATTGGAATTCCGTGGCGCCTTAAAAAACACGCGTTTGATAGCCCGCTTCAGTGAGGTTCTCGTACACGTTGAAGCATAGGCTAAGGAAAAGTCAAGCTAATGCATCCCGGGGATGACTGATGCACCCTCCAGGAAGGAAATGCAAAGCTAGTGATGAAAGTGATTGAGTCCCACTAAAAGAAAAGCAGTTGCCCTCTGTCATAGCAATGGACTCTAGTTGTCAAAGCCAAATCAAGCCAATCAATCAGAGAAATGAAGCAGACCAAACGTAAGGTCTTTATGGCTTAATTTACTGATAAATGAAATGAAAAAATATAATTGTTGGGGGGACCTTCGCTTCGAATGAAAAAAGACTACAGTGGAAAAATCCATTACTTATGACTCGCCTGAATTATGCCTTTATAGGGTCCGACTGCGGAGACTGTCTTTCCAAGAATCGTTATATGGCAATCGGTGGCCAATTCTATAGCTTTAAGGGTTTCTCCTTCGTGGCCAACCAGACGATTACGACGCTTAATAAATCTTTTTTTCTTTATTAAATGCATCTCGATAATATCTGCAAATATGTCATCTTCAAGAACTCGAACGGCCTGTAGAAAATACAAATAATAGACAAGTGAAAAGTCCAAGTGTAAAATAAAAACAATATTGGATACTAGACAAAAGAGCATTTCAACCGGAAACCAATAAATAATGCCACAAGCACGCTGGTGAAATGAAATGTACGTATTAAAATTGAATAAAACAACTAGGCACATTCTCACCTGCTCCAAAGGCGTTGATCTAGAAAGAAGACGAATAAAATCCCGCGCTTTTAAGATAATGAAAGGATCAAAGGTCTTGCGAGTTGTCTGAACCCCGATCGTACTTTCAGCCAAATTCAGATCGCCACGAATACGCTGTAAAAACATTTCGTACAATTTTGAGCGTAATGCACTTGAAGTAGCTACAAGGCAAATCTCCCGAAGCTCTTAAGTATAATTAGTAAAAAAAGGTTATCAAAACGTACGTGCTCTTGCAGTATTTTTTTGACTGCAGGCCATATTCCTTTTAGATAATTC